AGTCTCCTAATTGGTCTAATTACCTCCTGCCTCCTCCATTTTTGACTTTTCTGCAGACCTATATTTTCTGTTCAGAGTGCTGATGTTTGAGGTAGGAAATGAAACTGCACAAGAAGAAAAAGTCTGGTTTGTGCTGTTTCCACCCATCACTTTAATTTGGGGCTAGATAATATAAAGATATGGGCTAGTTCCTTAAAATTTATCTTTAGTTACAATTTGAGATGAGTTTTTTATTCAAGTTTTTAAAAATTTAAATGTGTGTACAGTGCAGTATCACTCTTTTTGGAGTACAGTTATATAAGTTTTGACAAATGCCTGAACCCCTCGAGTTGTTGGCAAAGCCTCAGTTGTGTCTGTCTTTCACTTGGTTTTTAGAGGTGCATGTACCAGTAGTTCGTTCCTTTCTGCTGCTGAGTAATACACCTTTGTATGGAAGCACCACAGTTTACCCACTGAAAGACATATGGATTGTTTCCAGTTTTTGCTAAGTGTAAATACAGGACTGTTATAAACATTCAGGTAAAAGGTTTTTGTTGGGCATGTTTTCCTTTCCCTACTTACGGTAAAGATTGTTAAGTTAGATGATGTCTTCAATGTATAAAATATACCATGCTATTTCCTATAAAGACTATTTCATTTTGTGTTCTTAGCAGTATGTAATAGCTTCAGTTACTTGACATTCTCACCTGCACTTAGCATTGTGTTTTTATTTTTCAGAGTTTAGTCATTCTACTCAATAGCTGTTGCCTCATAAATGGTATAAAGTCGCACTTCATTAAGTGGAAAATGATGCTGACCATCAGTTCATGTGCTTCCTTGCCATTCTATATTTTCTGTAGTAAAATATCTGCTCAAATCTTTTGCTCATTTTTAATTGAGCATTCATTTTATGCTATTTTTTGGAGCTTATGTGGGGTTCTAAGTGCAAGTTCTTCATCAGATATGTGATTTTGCAGTAATTTCTACCAGCCTGACAGCTCTTTTCATTCCCTTAATGTCCTTTGTACAGCAAAGCGTTTTGATTTTGATGAAGTCTCACCAATCAGCCTTCCATGTATGGATCGTGCTTCTGGGGTCTGATGTGGAAGTTCTTTGCCAAACCTAAGGTCACAAAAATTTACTCCTAAGATTTCTTCTAGAAGTTTTCTAGTTTTCCATTTTCAATGTGGACTTCTAACCCATTTTGAATATTTTTGTATAGGGTGTTAAGTGTGGTACCATTTCCCTTTCATCTAAATATTGAACTTCTTTCTTGGTTTTAACTGACCCATCTGTCCCCATATTTCTAAAAAAAAACCAAGCAGTCTTCACCTCCTCTCTGCAGTAGAATCTATGGTGGAGACAGAGGAATAACGGAACGCTGAAGGTGAACTCATTTTCCACTTTATCTTATAAAGATAAATGGCAGATGCTAGCCAGGATGCTTCTGTCTGTCCTTGACTTCAGGGTATGGTCTCTGTGGCACATCTGAGACACACTTGCAAAACCACCAGCTGTCACTGCCCAGGGGACCTAGGGCGGCCTCCTTAGGGCTTCCTTAAATTCTCCTTCACAACAAGCTCCAGTGGCCACTCTGACATAAGAAAGCCCACGCTTCATCACATTATTCCTAAGATGCGGTGGATCGAGAGTATCTCAACACACAGCCATGCTTTCTTTATAACCAAAACTGACTAGCTGGAGTTTTGCTGAGCCAGTGGGATTATGTGCAATTGTCCCAGGCATTAGGATCAAGTCTGGGTATCTAAGTCCTGGTGTATTTTATCGTCTCTGGCAGAACTTCCTGGGAATGATGTTAAGGATGCTGACATTCCAGTGGCAGATGAGATATAAAAAGAAAAAACTTCTTTCATTTTATATCTCTGAGATTATCCACAAGACCACCCGCTGTAGTCACCATATTCACGGAGTTGCCACCCAAGAATTGATTACAATTGAATGTTGCCAGAGGGTCTTCAGTAAATTAAATATTTTGCAAAGCTGTAGTGATTCTTTGGACAATGGTTACCAAGCTCAAGGGCTAAGGATCTGGTGGTGGGCACAAACTGGACAAGGACATGTGGCTTACAATTATTACTAAGTCACATGGCCTACAATAGACATACGAAGAAATGCTCAACATCACTGGCCACTAGAGAAATGCAAATTAGAACAACACTGAGATTCCATCTTATTCCAGAAAGAATGACCATCATCAAGAAATCAACTAATAATAAATGCTGGTGAGACTGTGGAGTGGGTGGGGAGAATCCCTTCTACATTGTTGGAAGGTAGTACAGCCACTATGGAAATCAATATGGAGATTCCTCAAAGGTCTGAAACTAGAAATTCCCTTTGACCCAGGTTTTCCCCTTCTAGTATCCTCCCAAAAGAGTTAAAGACATCATATAGACAGGGATTCATGCATATCCATGTTTATAGCTGCACAATTTACAGTAGCTAAATTTTGGAAGCAGCCTGTATGTCCATCAACAGATGAATGGATAAAGAAAATGTGATATTTACACACAATGGAGTGCTACTCTGCCATAAAGATAAACCTGAGTCATTTGTGGGAATGGATGCACCTCGAGAGTATAAAGTTAAATAAGATAAATCAGATGCACAAGCTTAAATATCACATGGTTTCTCTTATATGAGAAACCCTAATTATAAATAAAGAGCAACAAAGAGATAGTAGGAAGCAGGAAGATCCATCTTTCTCCAATGGGAAGGGGATCAAGAGATAGAGGGAGGGAGAGAAGGGGATGCAAAAGGAATGAAGGTGTGTTCTATCCATTACCAACTTCTCACGAGGAATGTAAACATTATGTACAACAACCATTAGTCATAAAATTAAAAATTAAAAAATGTATATGGCCCCTTGCTACTTCTATGTGTTTTTAGTTTTTCCTCTCTGGGGTCTGCATGTGACATGAACACTACTGGTACCGCAGTCCTATTATAGTAGAAGTGTTCAATGCTGTGGTTGTTATTTTTTATTCTCTTTTTAGGTTGAAGGTGTCTGAAGTTCACTCTATAAATGCTTAGGGCTCTCAGATCCTGAGCAGAGAGAAAATCACGCTGCATGCGCTTGAGGGGCCTGGGTGTCACGACTGGGTTCTCACGAAGCACGTTTGTCATGGGCTTACAGGAAGTCATATAATTTTCTAAGCTTGAGTTTTTTCATGTGAACAATGAAACAGACTTTCTGATCCTTTTGAGTTGTGCAGATTTAGAGTTAGAGCTTTCTCGCAACTTACCTAAGTTGATCCCAAGAGGTATCAGAAGAATCTAAACTTTATTTGCTGGTGCAATTCCTCCTGTGCCTCGTTATCTAGGTCCCAAACTCTACTTTCTGGGGGTGGGGAGGCGTCATCAGCTCGCAGGCTTTTGCACACTGGCTGCTCGGCTCAAGCTGACGTGTTATCAGCTTAGCTCAAAGGTGAATCTGAGGGGCTGGCAGGGGTGAAACAGGCACAAGAAGGCCCAGCTGGGTGGTGGAGAGGAAGGAACAGGCCAGTGGTCCCACGACCGGAACCTGACAAAGTACCAGGACTCCTGCTCAGACTCGCCAGGAGCCAATACAGCTTCGGCAGGTGTTTACACCAGGAGAAAGACTAAATCCCTTCAGCTCAGCGGCAGCTCCCTGTGAAAGTTCTTCAGTCTTAGTTTCTTGCGTGGGAAGCTATTTTCTCTTCTCATGCTTCTTTTGAACCATTTCCTCTTTTCCTCTTCTTCCCTCCTTCTCTTCCTTCCTTCTTCCTTTTGACTTTCCTCTTTCTCCTTCTTCCCTTCCCCTTCTTTTCTTCTTTCCTTTCTCCTTTCCTTCCCTGTCTTCCTTCCTTCCTTTCTTCTTTTCTGATATGTTTGGCCCCAAAGTCTTTTGGCATAAGAATATGTCATCAGGATTTTACCATCTTTGTAGTGCTGACATTTGTTTTTCTTTTATAATACTCTACAATGATCATTCTTGCACATCTATCTCTGTGAAAGAATTCTCATAGTTCCTTGTACTTAATCTATAAACTGTAATTATTGGTAAACTTTGAAAATTTGATGGCCCTCGACTTTGATCTTAAATTTAGCATGTTTTCACATGTTGACTTTCTACAATCTTTTACCTGTTGTGTATGCACATGTATGTGTGTGAGAGTGTGTTTGTGTGTGTGTGTGTGTATGTGTGTGTGCTGCTGGGGATTGAGCCCAGGGCCTCATGCACGCTAGGTAACTCCACCACAGAGCTGCACCCTATAGTACTGATTTTTCTACTGAGATTTATTCTTTTCATATTGATTTATCAGGACTCTGTAAATAGAGAATATCAACCCCTTGATCTGTCATACGATTTCCAACTATTTCTCCTCATTTGTTATTTACATTTTAACAGTGTTTATGTTATTTCAGGATATCAGTTTGTGCATTTTTATTTTTATGTAGCATTTGCTTTGATGATTTATGAGTTTTACAAATATTTTTAAACTTTAATAGACTTTTAATTGTTTATTTGTGTACATATATATATTTACAAATATATACATATAATTCTAGTTGGAATCTATTTCAAATTATCATGACAGTGATCTAAATGTTTTTCTTTTCTTTCTCGTGGTGCAGGTGGCTTTGGAATAGGGTCTTGCTATGTACTCCAGGCTGGTCTTGAACTCAGTATGTCACCTGGATGGCCTTCACCTTGTCATTCTCCCACTTCAGCCTCCTAAGTGCAGGGTAACTTTTTTTCTAAAAGAGACACTAAATTAAATTAACATAAAACCTTAGAAGTTTTCAACTTGTTCCATAGATCACTGGTTTCTTGCTAGTTAGTAATAAATGTAGATCTGTGAGTTACAGAGCCTGTCTGCACACCCTCACAGTGGAGAGCCTTTCCGTGCTAGGTAAGAGGAAGCCTCACTCACACTGGCTTCTCTCTTGTCTTTAAGTCTTTAAGGGCTCACTTATCTGGAGATCAGAGGCCATGAGGCCTGTGCATGTGACTTGCTTCAGGAGCTCAGTGATCTTACCTTCCCCCTTCTGTTTCATCTGCAGGCCGAAATGCCTTAGGGCCATGAGTGATTCCAGCTGTTCCTGGGGCTGTGTGCTGTGCTGTCACTTGATGACACCGAGGAGAGTGAGGGTGTTCCTTCCCAGATCTCCCTACTGGCTTCTTGCTCTTTCCATTAGCAGTGGTCAGGAAAATGGCAAATTGTCTCTTGAAGTCATTCAGGGCTTACCCTGGAGCTAGGGTTTGGGAGGATGAGGAAATGTGAGAAATTTGGGAAAAGGTGATCACCTGTCCACACACAGATAGGGACTGTGCAGCCGAGAGGAAGGGAGAACAGAATTTGAATGTTTGAATCAGCAACTGAGAGAGGAGGTTGTGGTTGGGCAGAGAGGCGTGGGGGTCCTAGAATGTAAACACCACCGCCTCCTGGGACCCCACAGGGAGAAGTTCTTTTGGATTCCCATGAAATGCGGATGGCATCAAAGGACACAGGTGCTGTGAAGGACTCGATACTGTGGCTCTTCCTCATGGTAACCTGCCCTGTGTCCTCCAGGGTGTACACCTATTTTTGCTTCTATTCTTCCTCTTTCTTACTCCCAATTTCATTCTGCAGAGCTAGCTTCCTCCTCACCCTTTACCTGCACTTTTCAAATAAACTTTGTCACTCTTTCTGGCTTGTTTCACTCAACTCTTTGTTTGAGATGAGAACCCAGAAATCAAGAGGCAAGCACCCCAGGAACATGGTAACTTTATTTGGGGAGCTATTCCTAGGAGCTACTTGACAGCACAGCTGCTTGCCATGCATACCTAGACCTGTTTGACAGTGATAGAAATGCTTTGAATTTCATTATCAAATCTTTTATCATGCATGTGGTGCTAGGGATTGAACCCTGGTACTCAGGCATGCCAGGCAACTCCCCGTGAGTGACATCCTATATTACTTCTCTATTTTATAGATGGAAATGTTAAGGGGTTGACGAAGTATGTGATTTGCCCTTGATTATTAGCCACATAGGTAGCGTGGTTCCAGTTCTGATCTCATGTCTAAATTTTCACCTCTTTCCAGTATTTTAAATCACTTACCTACAGGCGGAGAACCATTGCTGTTAGTTCTACAAATTATTTTTTAAAAAGGAGATATTAAAGATTCCAATAAAGTGGGCCATGAAGATTTGATGCTTTTAGTGGGGGCAGAGCATTGTAAGAGCCCAGAAACATGGTGGATTCAGGAACAAAGGTGCAAATCCTGTTCTCTCTTGGCCTGAGGGGACTAAAGTCTGCACACAGGTAGCTTATCAGGGAATGTGGTCACAAAGGGCAGGACGAGGGCTGCAGGAGGAAAGCCAGCACAACCTAAGTAGCTATGTCAATAGATAACTTGTGTCAGCATTCTATTACTGTAAGAAAGAGTACCTCAGATCATCTCCTTACAGAGAAGAAAGGTTCATTTTCTGTCACAGATTTGGAGGTTTCAGTCCATGGTCAATGCCAAGCTCAGGACCCAGCCTTTAACACATGGCCTTTGAAGGGTGTTCCCAATCCATGCTGTACCACCCTGTGACCCCACAGGAACTGCAGAAAGTTTCTTGAAATGAGCCTCAGAACCATGTAGTGAGGACAAAGGGAATGCACTTGTGCAGGTCTCCCCTCCCCAGTGGTCAAGAAGGTTAGTGAGATGATTCAGTGAGTGCTCAGGGAGCTGCTGCAGATGCGAAGCAGCCTCTGCCTCAGAGAAGCCGGGGACAGAGGTGAGAAGGCTGTGTCTGCTCATGCAACAATGACCAGAAAGAGTAAGACTGGGACATCTCAAGAGAGCCGTAAGATGCCCTGCACAAATGACCCACATAGGCTAACAAAACCCACCTTGGTTAAGGAAGTCATGCTCACACAGGCCTAAATCCCTGCTTACCTTGTTTGATTTTGATAGCTCATGCCTGGATTACCTCTTAGAAAGGTCTTCCTGGTTTTTCCTCAATCCACTACTGCAGTAATCTCCCTAAAAAAATAGCCATTTTGTCACTACTTTTCTGAAAGACTTCATTGTTACCTGCTGCTTGCTGGGTTGTATCCCGACTTCCTGGGTTGGAGGTGCAACACCCTTCACAATTGGTCTTACTATCATTAAACAACTGTATTTCTAGTAACTGGCTCAGCTGGACCCAAGCGAGGCCAGTTTCCTTACGTTCTGATAAATGTGCCAAGATTACTCCTTCCCTGAGCCTTTGCTGCTCCCGTTCACTCTCCCTGAAGGTGATGACATGTGAACTCTTTGCCGAGTGCTACCCAGGCGCTGGCCAGTCAGCAGAGAGCTGAGCCAATCAGATTGCGGCAGGGCAATTGTCAAGGTGGGTTGCCAAGCAGACTCAGCCCCGCCCAGGCCCCATCCTTCCACCCACTGAGTCCCGTCTCTTTGCAAAGCTTTCCTGTGCTTGCTCATGTGGGGCTTTTCTCCTTTAGCTTAATTACTACTTTGTGTCCAGAGTACAAGTAGTTAAAGAGAGCTGTGCAATGGCACACTAGTCAGAAACACCTGCAGTGTTTGAGGGCACAGCCTTTGGCACCTCTCCCCGTGGTAGCACTCTGCGGATGTTTTCTGCAGAAAGAACAGAAAGATGTAATTCAGTCTTTCCTGGGACATGGTTGATCAAAATTAATTCTTTTGTGTATGTGGTATTGGAAGCCAAACCCAGACCCACTTTACCAATGAGCTACACCCTCAGCCCTTAAAAAATGTTTTTATCTTGAGATAGTGGCTTGCTAGGCCGCCTTGGTGGGACTCAAACTTGTGATCCTCCTGTCTCAGCCCGCCTCAGCGCTGGGGTTACAGGTGTGCACCACCACACCCAGTGCAAATTTAAGTTTTTATAACTGGTATTTTAAATTTTTTTCAATTTCATGAATTCATAGCTGATGATATAAACATTTAGAATTTTATTTCTAAATGAATAAATAAATGAGAAAAAAGGAGAGCACATTTATTCAAGGGCTCACTTCCCTAGGGTGGTTGGTTCCCCACTTTATTTCTCAGGATTTTTCCAGCATAGGGAAAGCCTCATAGAAACCTGCTAAGAAGTATAGCCATTTCTTCCAAGTAGAAGCTCTAAAATTTCTGATGATTTCAAGTTTCCTTACAATGCTCTTTAGCTGTAAGTTATATTTCTGGAAGTCTATCCAACTCCAGAATGACTAACAGTGTTTGCCTGCATGCTGACTCTGAAACATGGCCCCCAGATCCTCTGCCAGCCTGGGTCTCCAGCTCCTCTCCTGGTGACTCTGCTGTAACCCACAGAAGGCAGAAAAGGCAGTGTGCTGCTGCTTCCTTCCCTGGGGAGTTCACCTTTGCAGCCCTGCCCAAGCTCCGGCAGCTCTGCATCGGTAAGGAAGCCACCAGGCCTAGGTGCTGTGGTCCCAGCCCCAACTAGGATCCCAGCTGGCACCTGTTCACATGCAGACGTGGGAGTGTGCTGGCCTCCATTTGATCTCAGCCTGTGCCTGTTAGTTTCAGGGGTCAGCTTGACTGGATTAAGATTTCCTAGAAAGCCAGGGAAGCATTGCTTTGGGAGCTTCTGTGCAGGTGTCACTAGAGAAGGGTGGCCCGAGTCTGAACGGACAAGGCGGGACACAGCTGCCCTCAGTGGAAATGGGCCCCATCCAACTGGCTGGGGGTCTTGAAGGAGCGAATGCAGAAGGGACCCGAGAGCCGGGACACATCCGTCTCTCGCTTTGGATGCCTTTGGGCTTTGGGATTTACACTAGCAGCGCACTCCCTCGGTACTTCTGCTCTGGGCATTGAACTGAGAGTGCCACCATCAACTTCCCTGGTTCTGAGGATTTTAGGGCTCAAACTGAGCCATGATGTGAGCATCTTGGCATCTCCAGCCTAGAGACAACCTATCGTGGGGCTTCTCAGCTGCCGTAATCTTCCCAACAACCCCTTTTCTTATAACGAGGAGCATGTCCTATTGCCTCTGTCTCTGAGGAACACTGAAATGCGCAGCTAGCACAGAGTTCTTCCAGTGGAGAGCTTAGACCTTGCTGAGCAGAGACAAGCTATGGCTGGGTGAGTTTCTATCCTAGAGTCCCAAGTGTGACGAAATGTTTTACCACCCCACTGAGTTTTGGAGCAATAGTTATGCAGCAGTAGTGACCAAAACAGTTATAGGCCAGAGTCCTTGCGACCTGTGTGCACCCTTAATGTTTGTGGGGTCAGGACTTGAGTACAGATAAATGGTCTCTAGACCAGATGTCCAAGTATGCAAAAGTTTTACAAGTTGAACATTATCGATGAAGTGAGTTAACTATTAAATAAACATGTTCTCCACTTCTTCCTCAAACACTATGCCTTCTTAGCAGCCTGGGAGGCTGGGTATGGTCACTGGATACCTGCCTGGCTCCTCCGCACCTTCCCCTACATGCCCAGCTGATGGCCACGCTTCCTCTCCATAGCCACCTCTTGGCCACCCCTTAGGCCAAGGGATGCAGGCAGCAGCGGTGGAGTTTGTCATCCTCAGGAGAGTGAAACAGGACCTCCCTGCAGATGAGAAGTCCAAGCAAAGCCTGGTGCAGGTTCCCGTGTCTGGTAAGAAGCTCAAGCATCACAGGAATGGAGTAGAATCTGGGATGTGGGCTGTGGTGGACCCAGTTATTTAGCTGGAAAACTTCTCATGCTAAGCCAGACAAGGGTCAGAGTGGAGCACTTTTGCTATGGCCCAAGGTGTTACATGTGCTAACCACAAAGTATACCTCTTTCAGGTAGGTGTGGTAGTGCATGCCTATAACTTCAAGCCCATCTGGACAATTAGTGGACTTGGCAAGACCCAATCTCAAAATAGTAACTTTTTAAAAAAGGCTACTGGGGATACAGCTCAGAGTGATAGTCGTAGGTTCAATCCCCAGTACCGTCAAAACCTTCCTCTCAACTCAAACTCAGAGTATCTCAGTTCACCTTCGCCTTTGCACTTTCCAAAGAATATCCTCAGGCAGTTCAGTGCTACGTAATGTGAGGACAGTGAAGTTAGGGCAGCGAGGAAACAGCATTACTTGTGGTAGAAGTTTCTTGCCTTGG